TTTAATAATTTACAGTCAATTGGAAAATTTGCATAAAAAAGTGCATTCTTGTAGTAAAAAGGTTGGAATATTAACACTTAAATTCCAAACTTAGTATATCCCTCTAGTAATTCCTCTCAAAGTAATACAGAAACCACTACACTGCATGTGAACTTAACATGTTTGACCGAGCTGTACAAAGGTAAGGTTTGAGCAAAACAACCAGTAAAACTTTGAGATAGTTCAAAGTAACATCTGGACAGATGAATACTTGGGCTCTATGGTGCAACAGGAGCAGATTTTAATGAGAACAGATGGCTTGACAGGATTATGAAACACACACAGATGTGTGCACTTAACAGACACACATGCACAAGAGATGATGAAACCATAAGAAAAAACACTGATGAAAATTGAAAGTGGGGGCAGGCTATTTCCTTAATAATTCAACTTTATATAGCAAAGAAACTAGGAAGCAACTGTCTGACCCAACTGCCTGCATCATGTTTTATTTTAATTAGTTTAATTGGGTACTTAATTTGCTCGCCGAGGTTTGGCATCCTCTGCACACCTAAATGTCCTGGAAGTAGATCAGTGTTAGGCCCTTTTCTCATCTTTTAATTTTAAAGTTTTTCATGAATAATTTGATTCCTCAACAGAAAAACATGCTCATGCTGAGGGGCAGACTGGCATCCACATGCATAATATTCCTTAGAAACAAATAAAAAGTGAGCAGAAACTCCTGTTACTAAAATAAAACTAACATAGAGGCAGATAAAAGGGGGGACTTGCATATACTTTGAAATATATAAATATAAAGTTTCCTTTGACAGGCCTAATGGATCTTTCTTTAGGAGATCTATTGAGCTGCTTCATAACGCCGCACAGCGCAAACATGGCTTTGATTAAACTTTCACTAATTAAAGTCTCCCTCATCTTATTAGCCCGACTAATTGATTTAATTTGTTTTAGCTCAACTATTGGCTGTGACCTCTACTTAGTTAATGAATTAATTGATTTAGCCCAAGTGTATTTGGAGGAGTCAAAGAGGATTTTGACATGTTGCCCCTTTAATCTTGCTTACTCGAGACACTCTTTGGGTCATGATGGCAATGTATTGGCAAATGTTTGAGGGGGTGGAGGGTAGATAGCTTTGGAGTGCTATTGCCACTCCACAAGGCTACAACTGCAGAGTAGATTTGGCCTTCTGCAGTTTATCAGTGAATGAAGAAGTAGCCTTGGCAATGACACTTTAAAAGCACCATTCTTCAGTTACTTTCGAACTTGGAAAGGAACTTAAACCCACACAGAATCTACTTTCCCTGAGCATTAAGGTCTTCATGTTTTGGAAGAGAAAAAAATGAGTCAATAATATTGCCATAATGCATGATTAGAACCAGTATACATCCTTTACAAGGGCACTTGGATGCCTAAATCACTAGCATCCACTTTATTGACATCGTTTTTCTTGATAACGGTACCAGACAGAGGAGCTTCCTCGGCCTGGATGCAGTTATTAACCAGATGTAAGGGAAAAGGCTACATCTACACTTGGCACTGTTTAGTGGCATTTGCAGCTGTAATGGCGCTGTGTTCATTTATCAAAGACGGCGATAATGTAGGAGCTGGATTTTGTTCAAATGCGCCTATATAAAAAAAGGAGGAGAGATAGCTTGGTGTCATGCCCTTGACGTTCCTCCAAAGCACTGGATTGGAAAGCACAGCTAACCTGCAGTGAAACCTGAACAAACAGCTCCCTCCAGTGGCAGAAAACCAAAATGTCTTCTCTCGTGTGCTCATCTCCAGGCCAACATCCAGCAAGAAAAGTTCCACCCAACTGTTTCTCATGAATAAATGAAGATACAATGAAATGATTTAGTGCAATGCAAACAGATATGGAAAAGGGAAAAACAGTGGTTCTCTGCAGATAATATGCACTGTAGGATTGACACTGACATATAGAGATACATTTGAAAAACTTCTCCTATTGTAGGCCTGTGTTTCTGTGAGGAGATTATTTCAGATCTCCCATTGTGAAACACCAATTTGGAACTTGGCATCACAGCTACATTCAAACGTTGCTTTGTTCTGTTTAAATAGGGGGCCCTGTAAATAGGCCAACTCATGTGATTAAGACTCATTAAAAAGAAACAGCTGATCTGCGTTGGACAACAGTAGTGCCCTCGTCAGTTTTGGGTATATGCTTAAACATGCGTCGACAATCATAGTCTAACTAAATTAACTGCAACCTATCCTTCGACGTTTCTTCTGACCTAGAACCTTTTTCTTACAAGTTTCTGCTTTTTAATATTCATCCTTAATTGATAAAATAAATGCATATTTGCCTGTTTTTAATGCACGTATCATAACATAAATATGAACTCAAATGGAGATCATTATGACACCTTGTCCTTTTATCTTTGATCTACTTTCGTCCTCTCCTACTGTGCCAACATAATTTATCCCTGAGAAAGGAATCTAGTTCTTCACAACCTGACAAGCAAGGATAACCTTCAAGGTTTTTTTTTCTTTCTAAATGACCACCATTAATCTTCTAACCAGAAAATAGTGAAACCAATTATAAGAACACCTCTCAAGGGAGTTACAGAGGAAGATAGGCAGGAAAGTTTCTTGCCCGATGGAATCAACTTGGCTGGGAGAAGAAGTGCAACAACTCGCACAGCAGGTTCCGGCTCTGAAGTGATCTAAAGATCCAAAAATCCAATTCAGATAAAGATTTGTGCTGAAAGAAAATGTCTGAACCAAGTTACTGCTGTTACTAATGGATGCGATAACTCGATGATTTACCGTACAGAGAATAACTAGTAGTCCATGGAAATGCTTTGACCGAATAATACACTGATGGATTTTCAGCAATAAGCTTTTCAAGCAGTTAGCAGCCATAATTAATGTTCCTGTGGCAAATATCCTGATGTAACGTGTGTCTACTTATATTGAAAATAAAGATTCTTATCTTTCCTCTGAAGCAAGAGTCTGGTGCCTTGGTTAAAGGCGCTTTTGTCTCAATAATGGCATTGATAAGCCAAAGATCAAGTTCATACATGAGCAATAAGATTACATGACAAAAGAAAGAGAACACTGAAAGCAGCTCTTCAAATGCACGACCCTGATCTTTAAAGGCCTAGATATCTGTCAATGGAAATACTTCAGAAAAATAGGCCATCTGTGTAAACAGAGCATGTAACAATGCTGTCTATAACAAGCTGAATGAAGATAGCCGTTGCCAGGTAGATTTTAAATGCAACACAAACTTGTACACATGAGATATGATAAAGAGATTATTTGTGAAGCAGGATTCAATATAAATCATTATATATTGATTACTATAGTGTGAGGTGTAATATGTAAAATAATATTGGGCATTTTTAACTTAACTTTAAGTTAATAGTGGCAAAAAGCGTTCTCCTGTGAACAAGGAAAATACTTTCCATTTTAATAAATATAGCCAATGTAATTTGTAATGGCGGAGAGCTGACTTCAGACATTGGCTGCTATTCAAATTCTCATGCTATGGATTTCATTACTAAACTCAATCATAATGTGAAAGCAAAGTACATAGATTAATATATTCAGCCTCAGTGACAGCTTTATGCATGTTTGATTAAATATTATAAGGTTTGTTTTTCTAATTTTGCATAATACACCTTTAAATTCCCAGTAAGGTGATCCAGTGCACTATTAACAACTGTAATAAACTCTTCTTTTAAAAAAGTCTGTATTTATTATGATTTATGGTTACCTGCTGCCATCTGGCTTGTTGACAGATAGCTGAGATGTAATCATTCGGCCGACCCATAAATCGGTCCATTGAAGGTTACTTGATATACACAGTGAGAGGCTGGAACGTGTTTATGTGGCTCACACATTTCTGAGGATGTGAGCGCACTGTGCAACCTTGTGTGAGGTTTACAGAAACATGAATACAAATGCACACATGCCATTTGTGAAGTTTTTTTTAACCAAAACTGCTGCGGGCACAGTCATAAGACTCCAATTTACTTAGGCATGTATGACATACATATTTTTGGAATAATAAGGAAAAGTTACCAAGCCCTTCTTCTGCCATGTTGCAAGTAGACAGGTGATGGCAGAAATATTGATTTAAATCCTCATATTTGGAATTGATCATAAAGTTTTCTTCTTTTTCTCTCCCATTAACCAGCTTGCGACCCGTCAGATTTAACTTGTGACCCTTTGGAGGGGCCCAACCACTGTGCTAAACAAGCAAACTGTATACAAAGTTGTTAAAACTAGCTCCACCTCAAGCATCTACAACAGGAAAATGCTGCTTACACGTTGATGCATCAGGCGGAAAATCTAATACTGGCATAATAATATGCCAGTCACAGGGGAAATTACTTCAGAATGAGCTCATACTTTAAGTACAATACTTTTGCACTTTTACTTACGTGGGATTTTACATGTAGTTGTATTTATTTAATTGTTTTTATATATTTATGTTTGTTATATGTTTGCACCTAACAACAATTTTTTTTACTTCATATCCCTGTGAAAACGGGCACTGTTCTGCTTTCAGAGAGGCTGAGCAAATACACGGGTCTGAAATAGCTTTATGCAACTGGAATCCAGCTAATTCGGTCATATCATAATCATTTCACACATATCAGTTTATGTAGGCTGTGAAGTAGTTAAATGTGACTTAATGTCCCTTAACTGATGATCTATTAAGTGTGAACTAATCACATAGCAGTGTAATCCTTTCTTACTGGTGATCAAGAGGAATTCATGATATACCCTGCATTAATCCATGCATCAAATCAGCATGGCTCATGCTTTAGTTAAGCATTACTTAAGTATATGCGTTACCCATGGACTTTCCCTTCCCTTTGTTGTAAGGGAAATAGAAAATCACTCATGTTTCCAATGGAACTTTGAACCTAAAAAGCAAACCTAGATCATCTGACTTTTATTTCCCAATGTACTGTGGCAAAACTACACACACACACACAATCCC